CCAGTGTTCCTTAGGGTTACCTAATCTTCGCACTCAAAATGTATTCATTTTCTCTAGCTAGAAGTTGAGCAACATTAACATTCTGTAAAGAAATTTAAACTTTGTATAGTGTCTGTTTTCTGTTAAAAATTTAATAATGAGAGGAAATGAGGTAAATTATGTAGTCAAGCTACCTTTGTTTTATTTTGGTCAAATCGAGCCAATAGCAACACAGCATACTGTAGTCAGAGATTATGTGTATGTAGCAGCTGATTAAATCGACATTGCATTTATGGTTTCAGCTCAATAATCCAGTAAAGCTTTCATGGGACTTGAATATATTTTTACTCAAATTTTATTGCTCCATGATAAAACTTTCCACCTTATTCCTACAAATTTCCCCTGATTTTCGTCCAACGAATGCACCTTTTATTCTCAAGCCGTATAAAATACTGAAACTGATCTTTCTCTTATCGCGCGCACAAATTTGCGATCGATGAAATCCGCTTGTTTACAGCTGTTCCGAGCCACCCTTTTCGACCCTTCCACCCTCCGAAAAGGGACGGGGGGCTAACTGCGCCCCCGAAGCCGCGTTACCACTGATCGATGACGATCATTAAACATAGACAATCAATTAAGATTCAACAAGCGACCCTTCGATCGACAAAGGGTTAACAACCCCACCTCACCGACAGTATCGACAGCAGCTTAGCGTGAACGAGCGATTATAGATATTTCCCCATTTGAAGCCGTGTTAAAGTATCGAATATTGAGGAACATGATGTTTATCGATCCTTTTCCATAGGTTTAAATGGCAGATCAATCGATATATATCGCAAAGGACGCCACGCCAGAAGGGGCGAGGCGGAGGTGCGGGAAAAGCGGAGGAAAAGCGGCAACGCTTTCCACTCGAGTTTTCCGGGCGTCGTTGTCATTGTTGTTGTTGTTACCAGGGCTGTTTGTCCACTATTTACGCCTACATTCACCTGGAACGCTGAAATAGAAACCCTATTCATCTTGACGTTAGTCCCGCTGAGATTCCTATTATACTTTTGAATTTCAATTTCGGCGACGGCCCGGCTTCGTTAAATCCGTACAAACGGTGGAAATGGCCCCCCTCTACCTCAGCCACCCCTCCTCCCCCCCGGCCCACCCCCTCGAGCCACCGCACTTGAGCGCCCTTTCATCGAATTATGATGATTAATCGGGATTCGTCGCAGCGTTGCCAAATGATCGCTACAGCTCCCCGGTAGCCTTGGACGGAAAGGGCGCACCTTCAGGTTTTCGTAAACGAAAATCATGCAGGTTTTCAAGATTTCTCACGCCCTTTCGCCCCCTTCCTCAATTTTCCACGTTGCTGGCAAACGAAAGGGGAGGGGTGATGGCAGTCTTCATCCTTCTTGGGTTTGTCACCGATTTTAGCCCTGACTTTAAGCCCCCAACGAACTGATTATTGAATCGTTATCGCCTTATTCTGGTCTATACATTCTTATCTTAGCAGTTTAGCAGTGAGATATCTTTCCTCTCGGACGGTCATAGTAGCATTAAAAAACAAAAGGTAATTTTTGCCCGGGAAAAACTACGTCAAGCTGTATAGAATTCAAGTTTATTAAAGCCAAATTTAATCAGTAATGAATTGCAGTATGGAAGTTAGAGTGAAGGAAAAAAAACTGTTTTGCATTTCAGATCAATTAACATACAATGAACTCAATTTTAATTTGACATCAATACTTCAACATTGTGTCAATCATTTATTCTAATTGTGGGATACAAATACATATATCAACTCTGCGGATGTGCGTGAAGTAGCTCATCTTTTGAAGGCGTTTTTGGTGCTTTTGGTGCTCGTCACTTTAACTTACTTTCGGAACAATCAGTTTAGATATTCAACACTGTAAAATTACTATTGAACTAGAGAGTGCGCCCCCTGATCGCTTCGTGGTTCATTTCCTTCAAGCGCTTCGCGCCACAGGCGTTAACTTTACGCGTTGCTTCTATATTTGGACCGTTAAGAAACGTGGGGTCCCAGCCCTCCCCTTCATCCACGTTGCTCGAGCACGTCCATATCGGAAAAGTCAGATTTGGAGTTGCTTACATGTATTCGTGCTCCCTGACAGAAATAATATTCGTACATGTGCAAGGACTGCCTTAGCGAGGAGGAGTTCCGGTGCATGCGAATTCGGGGCGGACAGGGCGCGGGGGGTGCAGGAAGGGGCTATTCCGGCCGTCGACGTGCTCGGAAAGCGCGTCCGTTCGCCTTCGTCAGGCGAATGACGTCGGAGGAGCGGGAGATTGGACGGCGAGAGAGCGAGCGCTGCCTGGCAAATGAAACTATAACTAGACGAATATTACTCCAGTTGCGCGCTGTTGTTACTCACTTGTCGATTCGTTTGCCGATACCCTTCTCGCCGCTCGCTGGGCCCGGAGTAGTGGCTATCCAGAAACGGTTTTCCTTGTTGACGATGTTGCCGTGCTAAGGAAAAAGCCGTATGGACATGGCCGTTGAGCGTTGTCAAATTTCCTCCAATAAAATGCATATTTTTAAGGAGAGTTATGAAGTTTTTCTCTTGAAATATTAAGATAATTTAGATCCGATTGTGATTAAAATTCTCTGAAAAATTGGAGAAAATATATTCACAGATTTCTTTGAAAATTCGTATTTTAACTGAGGAAATTTGGCAACGTGTAAAGGCTCATACTGCGTTTTTCCTTAGCATGGCAGTATGGGTCACTTGCGAGTGTTATCGTTATCTCGATCGATACCGCGGCCGTTTGCGACGTTGCACACTTCCTGTCATACATTATTTTTTCTTTGGAAAACTAGTCGACGTAATTTTTTGAAGACTTCCCTGATTTTTTTCTCTGTCTATAGAATAATATGTCTAAATTAAATTAGAGAGAATGAAAAAAAAGCAACGTCAAATAATAAAACCGAATTTTTCAAAGCGCCATATCTCATTATTGAACGTAGAAAGTTGCTTTTTAGACAGATCTTATTATTTTTAGCCAATCCATAAGAATCAGGAATCAAAACACGATTCCGTGACCAGCGCAACTGACCCATTGAAGTGGTCCCTCCGACACAACCGAAACTGCTTTGATGATACGAGGTTGAAAAGACGTCCAGTCTATCCCTGCAAGGGACTACTGTATCTTACATCGGCTCTTGTACTCGCATCTCCAGGAACCGTGAAATTTCATTTATTCCGTATCTCTTCCTCTCCAGTTCGACTGATAAGTGATTTGACGCGATAATGGATAGACGCCCCCCTCGTCCCCCACCTCAACCCCTCCGCCCTGTCCCGTCGGAGTCCTAAATTTCGTCCTTCGCGCGTCCCCGCCTCGCTTATTTTGAGGAGACTAGAAACAAATATCGTGTCGGATATTATGTCCCTTCCTTTTGTCCCATCTCCGCCAATTCAGACGAGAGCCCCTTGTGTTCCTCGCAATTATTTATGAAGTGTTGTGTCCTTTCTGTGCTACCGTTGAATACCCTCCATCGCCGGTTATCACAAGCCAGGTGCCGTGTAGTAGTCAGTATCGTAGCGTTTCTAAATTTACATCACTTTTCTTCGTAATCAAAACATACACATTTTGGCGTAATATTTTTGAAGATATTCTTGGAATGGCCAAGAAAAAAAAGAAAAAGAAATGGGGAAAATAACCAATGTAGCGTCGCTACTTTGTATGAATATCCCTAGGTGTTACCTCAAGAAAATCAGATCGTACTCAGAGCGCGTAGCGCTCGTGCGCAGTGCTTCGAGGGGTTGGACTGTGGAGGAGGCAGGGGACGTACCCCCTAGTTTAATATTAATTTTACCATGATACACACTGATAGTGTGTGATCACTGATCAACCATCATCGATACGTTCCAAAAGTGATTTAAAGTGACGAGCACTACCAGCGCCAAAAAACGCCTTCAAAAGAGGAGATACTTCACGCACATCCGCAGAGTTAAAATATTTGTATCACGCAAATATACTTAATGCGCCCTGTCGCAGCGAGACTTTCCGCGACGGGTTCTTCGCTCTGGTAGCTTTTTCATCCGTTTACCCGACACTCGGACTCTGTTTTTATCGTGAAGCGTGAGAGCGCTTGAATTTTACGATTTGATTCCGAATCCGTTCAAAAAATTCATATTCATTTTCAAATGAGCTTTGAAGAGATTGTTCGCCCGTATTTTTTAGAACTGAAAATAGGCATTCTCGTTTTTTTAAGTATCGCATTGCATCACGGAAGATAAAGTCTTAACAAATCTTGTCATCGGAATGACCCTAGTTTTTCTCCATTGTGTACATATCTCCCGGAAAATTGACGTTTCTGTCGAAGAAGTCGAATTTTAGGAAACATTCCAATTTTTCCGAGGAAAATCGAACTAATTTCGAAATGAGTTGATCATTTTTGGAATCAGCACTAAAAATCAACGAAATACTTTAGCTCTATCGGTTGCTTCACAAATATTTGGCAAACCGACCCTTGTCAACCAGTGTCATTAGTTTTATGTAGATAGAATAGATGGATAGAATTTATTGATGCATACAGCCTATTTGCACAGCTCTGGCACAAGTCAAATTTACAACTTATACAATCTTTGCAAAAATTTAAACAAAATGAATTATACAGGTTCTTAGAAAAATTCTTTTAGACTATAATAGGCCTTATTTTTAAGTTTTTTTTTTATTATTCCATTTTTCCTTTATTGGTCAATTTAGGCTTCATTTTATTGGTCATTTTTGGCTTACCTGATTTAGCTTTAAATTTAATCTTTTACTTTGTTTTAAAAAAAGGTGTAAGTTTTTGATATTCTTATTATATAGGGCAACCCCTAGGAAGGGTATTTTAATATAGTATAAGCACTGTCCTCTCTCCCCACAATAGGAGGACAGTAATTATACATTAAATATATGTATAAAAATGTTTAGAAACTGGTTAAGGAATAAGTTATTTGTCTGTTGTTGCCTTGTCTGTTTAAATCTCTCGGAATTTTTTACTAAGTTTTGTTATTTTTGATGTGTTGCAGGGAAAAGCAATGGGCCGTTCCAGGACGCAGTGCACATTACTGCCATCCTGGGCGAGTCGGTGGTGTTCAACTGCGGGGTGGATTTCCCCGCTGACCACCCCGTCCCGTACGTCCTCCAGTGGGAGAAGAAGGTGAGCGTCGACACGGTACGAACCCCCACCACACCAACACACACTACCAACATGTTACATGTCATGTACCGCCTCAGTCTCAGTATCAGCAACCGTAACCCCTTTTAATTATCAATTATCAGTATCCAGTAAACGCGTTCTTGCTCTAGTCCGCGATCAGTTCACCGCCCATGGAAATATTGGCGTTTCGCTCTCCGTATCAAGCCGCGGTTCTGGGGTTAATTTACTCAGATGGGTGTTAACCGAACGGTGATTTAACTCCAGCCTATTCCGACTGTAGTTAAATCAACTTTGTCCAGGGTTCAACCTAATGCCAGCCTGAGAATAATTCAATCTTGACTGAGGTTAACTTAACTTTGGTCAAGAATTAAATTAGAAATGACTGGCGTGAGTTAATTAACACCGGGATTTTTGGTTGATACTGATTAACACCTATATTTTCATGTGTGAGTTTAACGCCCTTGCCCTTGCCCGTGTCAGAACAGATCTCTCTCTTTATTAGTGCAGTATTCGTTTCATGGCTTGTCTTGTTTAGATCTCATCCTTCATTTCACACACCTGTTCTCCTCTCCTCATCCATCCTCTGAAACCCTGTCTCTTCTCCTCACTCTAATTTCAACCAAAGATAATAACTAAGAAGAGTTTGCTTGATTATAGCAGATTGCTTCTTGAAAAATTTTCAGCAAGAGTAGATTTCAAATGAGAAATGTTTAAGAAAATGCCACTAAAAATAGTGTCCTCAACCTATATCTGACACATTTTTGGGGGAAACTCTTTAAATTGGCAGCCGTTGCTTCGGGATTGCAGAATCATGCAATCAAGAGTCCTCCCCTTTGTTGTAGTTGTTCTCATCAAATGAGCTTGCCAAACAGGGAATGAGAGTAAGAAGCGAAATTTAAAATACATTTTTCTCCTATTATGAGTTGCGAAAATCCCCTTGAAATAGCTTGAGCCGATTGACGTTATCAAAAGACGCAAAGGTTTGTGGGATCAGTTTTATTTTCCGTACGTATTGGGAGATAAATCCTATGCTTAAGTCATTTTCTAGTGAAAATTCCTAACAATAAAGTCATCCGTACTTGCCCCAACATAAACCCAGGAGGAACGTCAATCCACATAGTCGATGATGTGCAGTCGAAAAGTTATCCCGCGTGGCGTCCGAGTTGAAGTTGGTCAACCGTAAATTTTGGGATACCGCAAGCGCTCCCGTGATTTTAATCCCGTGTCACTGGGACTCAGCTCTGTCGTTAATATTTGTATTGTCAGTGGCACAACCCACTCAACGAATTCACTAATGCGTTAGGATCATTCCGAAAATCGGGAGTGGGGGTCCTGTCAATTCGCTAGCTCTTTTTGCACATGACTTATGTGTTATACAAAGAGAAGAGTTTAATTATCGGAGAGGGGGATATTTATTATTCCCGCTTTAGCTGGTTCCGTACAGCAAAGGATACTTTTTGCAAACACTATTCGGATAAATGCAAGCATATCTCTTTTTTTATTCATTTATTTTATTATTACTACCACTATTTCACCATTATCCTTTGTTTTCTCCTAGAACAACATTGTTCGTAAAACGCATCTGATCAGATGCTTCTCAGGCTGCTCTTGAAGTATAATATAATTGCACCTTTCAGTTGCTTCTAGCACTCTTTTTGGATATAATTTTAGGAAGAAAAAGAGCACTCTTGGATGCCATTGGAGAGTAAGGCACTGTAATTCTCTTAGGATGCAGACTTTTTCCTCACATAATAAGTCAACGATCAAATGCAGACGAATCAAATTTATTTCGAATTACCAGTCCATGATGAGGAGAGAAATGATACCTCCCCTAAACACCTACTCAATGCGAAGCAGAGAAATACTTTCTCTCCTGAGCAACTAGTCGCTGCAAAGGAGAGAAATGTTTTCTCTCCTGCTGAGCAACTAGTTAATGCCTAGGAACGGATACATTCCTCTCTTAAGCACCAATTACTTGCTCGGAAGAGAGAGCATTTCTCTCGAACACAACTACTCAATGCAGAGGAGAGGAATGTCTTCCCTCCTGGGCAACTAGTTGGTGCTTAAGAGAGGAATGCGTCTTTTGAAAATGTACTAAACGACTTGTGAATTATAAAATTAAAACGTATTATGTGGGTTTATTTTAATGTCATGGGACTTTTTAATTTCAAAAAATATTCTATTGCATCTTTTTCATTTTTGGACCATTTTAAGTTAGTAAATTTCAGTAGACTTATGTTCAAGTAGCGACAGTTCTGTATACTCTCCAATGGCAGCAAGATCAACAAATAAAGTACTTTTCTGTAAAAACCAGAGGTATGCTGAACCCTGGTAAAATTTTGAAGCTTTTTTCTGTATTTTTTGCCAACAATGCTTTAATTTATTTTGCTGATCCCAAATCTTTTACTTCGAATGGGATTTTTTCATCAAAAAAATATCTAGCGACAAGTATCGTCTCTTGCACACCCAGAACTGCCCTTATGCGTCTTTGGTAGTATTCAAACTAGGTTCTCTCCATCTAAAATTTCTGAATCTCATCTAAATTTTAAGTCAATCCTGCTTTTTTACCCCGTTTGAAATCAAACAAAGGAATTTTCGGGACAACGCAGTTTATTCAATTAGCGTTAAGACTGCTGGTCTCAAAAATATTCATAGACAATTAAGACCACAGAGGGTTTCAACAACCTACAATTCAAATTTTGCATGTAGTTGACCCATGAAATTCTACACGAGGCTCAAAACCAAAACACTTCTTATCTCAGTGTCTGGGAACGGCAAGACTCAATTGATGGGACTCAAAAAGTTCACACCAAAACCCTGTTTTCGGCCGAGAGTGTGATTCTTCCTTTCTCCTTTGAAAAACAACAACTTTCGCACAATACGACTGGAACCACACTTTTCTGATATTCCGCCTTCGTGCTCTGTTCAATATCTCTCACCACAAATTTTCAGCAATGCCTGAGAATTTGTGAGTTCGACGAAAAATCAGTGATCAAGTATTTACGCCTGTTGTGTTTTAGCTTTAAAGGATCAATGAAGCTATTCTTCGTGAATTATAAGAATTCATTTACTGATTTGCCACGTTGCCTTTGAAGTATAGCTAGGGATCATGGTCGAAAATTCCGATTTTTCCGAAGTTTTCAAAGCTGATACGTCGAATTTAAGTGTCACATATGAACGAAGAACTCCGTGAAACACGCACATTTTACGGAGTCAATTATTTTGACTTGTTCGTCCAGAATTTGCATTTTTGTTAAACCTCAGAAAATTTAGTAACTCCTGAATAGCTTTTATGATTGTTAAATTGATGGTAGAGAAATGTACCTACATTGTTTAAATATTTTACAGTGGCAAGGCGTGAATGATCGATTATCGATATTTCTCCATTTGAAGCTGTGGTGAAGAATCGCTTAAAAAGGTGTTCGTTGCGAACTTGCGTGTTTATCGATCCTTTTCCATAAGTTTAAATGGCTGATCAATCAATTAACACATTGCAAAGCATGCCACGCCACTGATATATCAAGAGTCGGGAGAGAAGATGCATTGTAGAAATGGGTAAAGGAGACTGATGCGGCTATTTTAACTCCTGAGCATATTTGTAGGATACCCGATTAAATGAAGGCGCTTAGCCGTACAGCCAGGAACCAGAGGAGTATAGAAGCTCATTGCAACAAAGGAAGTGGTTGATTCGATTATTGCACACTTACAACATCGGATGAAAGACACTAAGTAATCTGTATAATGGAATATCGGTGCTTCACCAGACGACTTGAAAACGAAAAGAAACCTTGCAAAATACGTGTGTATGGCTGCAATTTACGCCTTACGAGGGATTGGCTCTTTTCACAATCATCTCGGAATTTCTGTGGCTGTTTAACAAGTGCATATTTTTCTTTGTTGAAATTGCAAGCAGCTCAAAGACGTGGAACCTCGTTTTTAATCAACTGAAAGGCGCCCAGGCGGAAAACTTGACCGCAAAAACCACGCGCGCCTCAGAACGGGAAATTACATTACTATTGCACAGAGAGTTAGCATTTTAAATTTCGTCGAGAACCTGAGCTTTGAAATACTCTTTTTCTCGCGGGTGTTCGCGGTTTTTAGAGAATGTCTTGATAGGGACTATTTTTTGAAGCTTCGCTTGTGGTGGATTTCCTCTTGAAACGGGGTGGAAAAACCGTCCTCTTTCCCAGAAAATTAAGTTCAAAACGTAGATCTTTAGATCATTAAACCTTAAGTACATGCATGTACTTTTATTCTCGAGTTCAGTGCAGCTCAAATGTAGTCGATAAGGAATGGATAGAAAACGGAAAGGACTCAAGTTACATTTTCAAGAAAAATGAGTTGTGAGTATTTTTCAGCCCAACAAGCAGCTCGAGGCCCTCTCCTTGTCCTAGATGTCATGCTGTTTCTGATATGAGCCAGAAATTATTGTTCCTATAATTAATTGCAAAATGCAGTCCAATTTTAATGCACATGAGTGGATATATTTTTAAAGAATTTTAAATTTTTTAACAAAAGCGGGAAATGACAAGGAATTTTAAAAAATCTGGGAAAATCTGGAATTGTCCCGGAAAATGATGAGAGCGTCAGGGAAAAATTTTCAATTCACCTTCATTTGCTTTTTAGAATGGGTTTCACGTTGTGAACAACAAATTTCACCTGAAAACTATAAATAATGCCTTTTCAACCTGGCAAGTAAGTTTTTCGCACTCTGGCATATTTTCAATTGTCAGAGATTTTTACTCGAGTGTGTCAGGGAAATCAGGAAAATGTCAGGGAATTTTGAAAAGTCAGGGAAAACCTGGGGATATCAGGGAAAATTATGAAAGTATGAGGGAAAAATTGTTAATTCACCTTTATTTGCTTTTTAGAATGGATATGACGTTTTGAACTACAAATTTCGTCTGAAAGCTATTTCAAATTATCCCTTCATAACCATCTGGCATATCTTCAATTGTCAGGAAAATTAACTCAAACGTGTCTGAGAAATCAGGAAAATATTATGGAATTTCATT